CCATTATTAAATTTGAAATGTTTATAAGGTATTCTTATTCTTTAACAACTTGGTCAAACTTTATTATTAAGTGCTTCCATTCTATGAAATTTATCAAAATCATAAGCTCGTACTTGTTTATCTCTTGTCCATCTTTCTTTACTTCTGAATTTTTGTCATGTTGTTTTTTTTTCATAGTAAGAGTTATTTTTATTATATTCAGCTTCTGTAATTCTCACAGTTTATCTTTCTTAGCTCTATATTTAAATATATTCAGTGTTCATTCTCAATTATTTTTTATAACATAGCTTCCAGTTTCTGAATTCTTTATTTGACCTTTTGATGGATTAGATTTTTATCACTGAGTAGATTTCTTTTTTTAAAAAGACTTTGTGAGTACTATAATTCACAACCTTTTGCTTATTTGAAATTGCTTCTGCTGCTTTTATAAATGAATGACAAATTGAGTGTTAAAAGTAAGGATCCCTCTTGACTTTCTCAGAACAAAGTAAATATTGATTCATTCTTTTCACACTTGTAAAATAAAATTCTCTGCAGAAGTTTTAAAGCAGTCTAATTTTTGCTTATTATAGGCAACTTGCTTTTATTTCCTAAATATGCATTAGATTTTTTTCCCTAAAGTTTAGTAACTTAACCAAGTATATCTTGACATTGCTCATTCTTACAGATTTTTAAGTGAAATATAGAATTTCTTTTTAGTCAGCAAATTCATCCTTTTAGAAAATATTTTTCTTTAAAAATATTTAAAATTTTTCTGTTGCATTTGCTGATTTCTTCTTTAGAAATGCCAATTATAATTTCTCAGTTGCTCATATTTATCATATTCTCTGTACTTTCTTTTATATCTTTGTTCTTTTCTACTTAACTTTCTGTAATTTTTTTCTAGCCTTGTGTCTTACTTTGTTTTCAGCAGCATTCAATCTATTTATTTCAGCTTCTAATGTGCCTTTCATTTCTGTATGGTTTTATCATCATCTTCTATTTCTTTCCTGAGTTCTGGCAGGTAACTTTGTGTCTCTTTGGAATGTTTCTTCATTTATTCTTTGATTGCTTATGTCTCTTCTACTTGTTCCACTTTTAAACATTCTAAATTACTTTTCTCAAGATTTCTTGTTTTCCAATTCTACTTTATGTAAAAGTTTCATCTGTTTTTTACTTGTCATACTTTTCTCCTGGTCCTGGTGGTTAATGTTGGTGGTGTAGGACTTGAGCACAGGTGCAATGGCAGATCCTTTAGAGTCTGCATGGGATTAGATTGTCCTTTGGAATAGAAAGAGGATCTGTATAGACTTGATCTCTGATTGTCAGCCCATTTCCATCTTGGCATTCTGAAACTCCAGTTAAGAACGGCTAATAGGACCTTCCAGGACAACCTAACTTACTTTTAGAGAAACCTTTACCTTATTCAAGATTTTTAGCAGCTTTCATGGTCTTCCCTAAATTTGGTACAAATTTCTCTATTCTATGTTCTTTATAGTTTGTGATTTGGAGTTAAAGATGTTTCTTGGTTTTATTGAATATAGAAGTTCTTTTTCTTTAATAAACTAGGATTAAGGGAGATAAGTAAAGTCATCTACTTTCCCATCTTTAGTTTTATAATAAAAACACCATGTTGTATTGTTTTAAACTCCTATCTACTTATCAAACCATATTCATTAGTTTCTGTTGGTGCCATGAAAATTATCACAAACATAACAGCTTAAAACAACACAAATTTATTATCTCACAGTTCTGTAGGCCAGAAACATGGATGGGTTTGAATAGGTTCTCTCGTTGCATCTTAGAAGGTCAACCTCAAGGTGTCTATGCTCTTAGACACCTTGGTTGTCATCTGAGGCTCTGGGGGAGAATCCATTTCCAAGCTCATTCAAGCTGTTGGCAGAAGTCAGTTCCTTGTGGTTGTAGGGCTGAAGTCCCTGTTTCTTTGCTGACTGCCAGCTGGGAGTCTTTCTCATCTTCTCAAGGCTACCTACATTTCTTATTGCATTGTTCCTTCATCTTCAAATCAGCAATAATAGTGTACTGAGTCCTTCTCATGCTTCAAATCTCTCTGACTTCCCCTTCTGCTGCATTTTTTCTGCCTCCAGCCCAGAAAGTTCCCTGCTTTTAAAGGCTCATGTGATTACACTGGGGCCACGTTGATAATCTAGGATAATATATGTTAAGGTCTTTAGCCTTAATTAAATCTGTGAAGTCTCTTTTGCTGTGTAACAGAATATATTCACAGGCTCCAGAGATTAGGGTGCAGACATCCTTGGGGGGCATTATTCAGCCTGCTCCACACATTAAAGAGGGCGGCCATATTTCCTAATACATTCCAAGTCTAAGCCTTTATGCTTACTAGACCCAGATTTTTACTCTTCTGGAAGAAGATACCTCACATTTAGAGTGGTCTTTTTGCCTTTTTTTGGACCCTATTTTAAATAGATTATTTCATGTTCTTGCTTAAAATACTGTAATAGCTTGCTCTTACACTTAGAATAAAATTTACACTCTTTCCCATGGCTCATGAACTGGGCCTAATTACCCCTGTCTAATCTCAACCCAGTATCCTCTGTGTCCAACAACATTGTTCACCTTTTGGTTTTTCAAATAATCTAAACTTAATCTCGCTTCAGGTTCTTTGAACTTGTTCTTCTCTCTGCATGTGACATACTTGCCATGATCTTGCTATACTTGACTCTGACTTATCATTTAGGCTCAAATTAAATATCATCTCCTCAAAGATGGCTTCTCTGACCATCCCATGAGATGTTGTCTGTCCATAACTCTCCTTGGTAATTATCAATGTAAGTGTTTCCATGGTGCCTATCCTTCTATCCCTTCATATATGGCTGATAGAGAATGATTTAAAGACTGTACTTCAGAGTCATTGCTGTCCTTACCAATAAATGGACATACAGAAGTGAATCTGGTAGGTTTATAGTCACATGTAACCAAATGGCTTTAGAAAGGCTTAGGTTCTTGAATAATTTTCTTTGTGGTGTTGGAGAGTTGTCCTCCCTGAGCTACAAAAATAAATATCACTTAGTGCAGTTGGTCACGCAGAGCAGGTTCTAATACTGCTTGGTGATGAGAAAGTAGTTTCATCTCTCTCTTGACTTTCCATTTCTTCTCATGTAAAAGAAGGGACCTGGATGATTTAACCTCTATTTGTCTTCTACTTGAAAGGTCAATGATTTTCAGTTCTGAAGTCAGTTTGATATTAAGAACTCCTAAAAGTTTCTGGATTGCCTGAGCCAGTGGTTTTCAAAGTGTGGTTAGCAAATCTCTGGAGGTCTTAACAACTCTTGCAAAGGCTCTGTGATGTCAAAAGGCACTTTTTAAAAATATTAAAATTTATTTGTCATTTTCATTATTTTGACATTATCATTATTTATGGTGCAAAAGCAAAAACTACCGTCACCTTAGCGCAAATCAAGGCAGTGGCACCAAAGTGTACAAATCGTTATTGCATTCCTCAAGACATGAAAAAATGTATTCACATTAAAAAAAGTCTTTTTCATCTAAGGATGCTCTTTGTGAAGCAGTAAAAATTATTAGGTTTGTTAAATCTTGACCCTTAAGTGTATATCTTTTTAATATTCTGCAGGACAAAATAGGAAACAGGTATAAAACGCTTCTGCTACATACAAAGTACCACAACACCACAGTATGGTGGTTGTTCAGAGGAAAAGAACTTGAATGATTGAGTTGCAAGCTGAACCAGCCGCTGTTTTATACAACGATTTTCTGCATGAAAGAATGACAGACAAACTATGGTTATTCAGAGTTGGGTATTTGGCAGACATTTCCTCAAATTTGAACAAAGTGAATCTGTCAATTCAGAGAACACCTCTGACAGTATTTGTTGCTAAAGATAAAATGATCTTTCAAGTGAGAATTAGAATTTTGTGAAATTTGTATCAGCTTTCCAAACACTTAAAGACTTTTTGATGAGATCAGTGGTGATATTAATGAATGTGATTTTTAATATTGAATAATGAAATGTGTCAACACTTGAAAGAGCTTAGTGATAACTCAGTGAACCAATATTTTCTAAATGAAAATGGATGATATTACAATGTGTGGGTAAAAGATATACTCAAAACACAAACTAGACCATAAACTTAATATAAAAGGATAAAAAGTTCACTGGTATGGTTTCAGATTTCACATTGCGACTAACCTTTAGGAAACTACTACTTGTTTAATTTGAGTGTAGTGTCAAAGCACAGTATCTAAACTTATCTCAAAGGACTTTTGAATTTTGCTTTCCAACTATATAACTGTATGAGGCTAGATTTTCTTCATATACTTCAACCAAAATAACATATTCCAACAAATTGAATGTTAAAGCAGATATGAAGTTGCAATTGTCTTCTAGTTCACTAGGTACTGAAAAGATTTTTTAAAATGTAAAACAACGCCACTTTTCTGACTATACCTAAATATTTGAAAATATACTTAATTTTCATAAAATATGTTATGTTTGCATGTAATGGGTTTATTGTTATTTTAAGCGAATTTATAAATATTTTAAATTTTCTCAGTTTTAATCTCTAATATGGTAAGCATCAATAGAGATAGTCCATACAAGCAAAAGTTCTTTGGGATCTTCATTAATTTTTAGGCGGCTAAAGGGATCCTCAGACCAAAACGTTTGAGAGCTGTTGGTTTAAGCAGAACCAAAAAATGTTTTGTTCAGTGCGATTGACTATTTATAAAAAATTTTCATTGTGGTAAAATACACATGACGTAAAATTTCCTATCTTAATCATTTTAAATGTACAGTTTAGTGATAATAAGTACATTCAAATTGTTGTACAACCACCACCACCATCCATTTCCAGAACTCTTTGCATCTTGCATATAGAAACCCTGTGCCCATGGGGCCGCCCCGTGGCAGAGTGGTTAAGTTCGTGCGCTCAGCTTTGGCGGTCCAGGGTTTCACCAGTTTGGATCCTCGGCGTGGACATGGCACCACTCATCAGGCCATGCTGAGGCGGCGTCCCCCATGGCAAAAGCAGAAGGATTTGCAGCTATAATATACAACTATGTATTGTGGGCCTTTGGGGAGAAGAAAAAAAAGAAGATTGGTAACAGATGTTAGCTCAGGTGCCAATCTTTAAAACAAAACAAAAGAAAAGAAACCCTGTGCCCATTCAACAGTAACCCCCCATTACTTTTTTTCCCCAGACTCTGAAAATCACTATTTGCATTAGGGTTCTCCAAAGAAACAGAACCAACAGAAAAGAGATTTATTATCAGGAATTGATTCACATGATTATGGAGACTGAGAAGTCCCAAGATCTGCAGTCAGCAAGCTGGACTCAGGAGAGCCAATGGTTAGTTCCGGTGTGAGTCCGAAGGCCTGAGAAGCAGGAGATCGGATGGTGTAAGTTCCAGCCCCAGTCTGAGTCCAAAGGCAGGAGAAAACCAATGGTCCAGCTTTGAGACAGTCAGGCAGAGAGAGGATGAATTCTCCTTTACTCAGCCTTTTTATTGTATTCAGGCTTTCGATGGGTTGGATAAAACCCACCCACAATGGAGATGGAAATCTGCTTTATTCAGTCTACTGATTCAAACGTTAAAATCATTGAGAAGCACTCTCACAGGCACGCTCAGAATAATGTTAACTAAATATCTGGGCAAGTTGTGGCCCAGTTAAGTTGACACATAAAAGTAACCGTAATACTGTTCTACTCGCTGCCTATGAATTTGACTACTCTAGATTCCTCATATAAGTGGAATCATACAGTATTTATCTTTTTGTGACTGACTTATTTCACTTAGCATAATGTCCTCAAAGTTCAACCATGTTGTAGTATGTGTCAGAATTTTCTTCCTTTTTAAATCTGAATAATATTTCCTTGTCATATGTCCCATTTTGTTTACCCGTTCATCCATTGATGGACTCTTGGGTTGCTTCCACATTTTGGTTATAGTGAATAATGCTGCTACAAACCTGGATGTACAAATAAATACCTGTTTGGGATCCTGCTTTCAATTCTTTTGCATAAGGATTCCAATTTCTCCACATCCTTGCTAACCCTTGTTATCTTCTATCTTTTTGATAGTGGCCATCCTAATAGATAAGAGGTGGTATCTCCTTGTTGTTTTTATTTGCATTTCCTTAATAATTATGCTGTTGAGCACCTTTTCATGTGTTTATTGTCCTTTTATATTTCGCCTTTTGAGAAATGTTAATTCAAACCCTTTGCTCACTTTTAAATTGAGTTGTTTGCTTTTGGGTTTTTGAGTTGTAGGATTTCTTTATATGTTATGGATATTAATCCCTTATCAGATATGTGATTAGCAAATATTTTCTCCCATTCTGCAGGTTGCATTTTCACTCTGTTGATTTTGTCCTTTGAGGCACAGAAGTTTAAAATTTTGATGTAGTCCAATTTGTCTACTTTTTCTTTGGTTACATGTGTTTTTGGTGTCATATACAAGAGATCATTGACAAATCCAAATGTCATGAAGCTTTTCCCTTATGTTTTCTTCTAAGAGTCTTACAGTTTCAGCTCTTGCGTTTAAGCCTTTGATCCACTTTGAGTTAATTTTTGTCTGTGGTGCAAGGTAAGGCTCTAACTTTATTCTTTTGCATGTGGATATCTAATTTTCCCAACACCATTTAGCTGAAAAGATTGGACACCCTTGTCAAAAATCATTTGACCATTTGTGTGAAGATTTATTTCTGGATCTCAATTTTATTCCATTGGTCCATATGTCAGTCTCTATGCCATTACCATGCTGTTTCAACTAACGTAGCTTTTGAATAAGTTTTGTAATCAGAAAGTGTGAGACCTCCAACTTTGCTCCTCTCTGTCAAGATTATTTTGGCTACTTAGTGTCCCTTGAAATTCCATGCGAATTTTATGAAAGATTTTTCAGGCAAAAAACACCATTGGGATTTTGATGGGAATTGCATTGGATCAGTAGGTAGCTTTGGGTAGTATTGACATTTTAGCAATATTAAGTATTCCAATCCGTGAATAGGAGATATCTTTCCATTCTTTTCTGTCTTCTTTAATTTATTTCAGCAGTGTTTTGTAGTTCTCAGTGTACAAGTGTTTTGCTTCCTTAGTTAAGTTTATTTCTAAGTATTTTATTTCTAAGTATTTTATCCCTTTTTTTATTCAGTAGGTCTGATTACTGTTTGTAAGCAACACATTGAATGCAGGCACTGTTCTGGGGATTTGAAATAGTACATCACATGGATCATACCCTCAATTATTTTTTGTTAAGGATTGGTACAATACATTGTAATATGTACCATAAAGATGATTTTCCCTGGGTGCTATTGGAGAATATAGGACTGTCATTTTTACCACGAGATATGGTTACATTGCTATGGTTACCTTGGTTACATCTCCATGGAAACTTGAAGGAAAAGTTGGCTTGGGGAGGGAGAGTGGGAAGGGCTGGGAAGAACATTAAAAGTAGAGGGAAGAGCCTCTGAACAAGGAACTGGAGGCATGGAACAGCAGAGTGTGTACAGAGAACTGCAAACAGCTTGATATCGCCTGAGGACAGAGTGCGCTGAAAGGAGACAGAGGGGAGGAGGCTGGAAAAGCAGACAGGACCAAATCTTGATGGTTTTGGCCCAGACTGCCACTCCTCTTAAAATTCTGGTGTTTCCAAGTCCAAGAACGCCTCCCTAACACCTCTTCCTCTTTCGAAGTTGGCTTAGGTCCCCACTGCTATGCTCCATTAATACTTTGAACAAGTGACTCTTATTTAAAACACTTAAAAGTTGTATTATAATTTATTTATATGCTTAACATAGTGCCTGGAACATACCACTGTTTATCAAACTTCTCTGAATTGGGTTCACATTTTTGAATAGATAAGCTATATAGCAACACTAATGCTTAAGGAAGATAATTTTGCTTGCTGTTTACCTGATAGTAGAGGCTAATTTAGATTGGAGACAGGGAGAGCAACTGAAAGGGTTTCAGGGAGAAACGGTGTGACCAGGACCTGGGTCAGCATAGCAGCTCTAGAAATGGATAAGAACAGGCCTAGAATGTGCTTCATTTCACATATTGTGAAAACACGGGCTCCCCGTGAAGCCTGGCAGTGGGTGGGCCACTAAGTAACAGCACGAGTAAGCTGAGCTCTGAAGAAGGGCCAGGGTACACAGAGATTTGGGGTTGAGCATGAAACAGTCAAATTTATCATCTCCTAGTAAAATGCAATCAAAACCAAGAGAGGGAAGGTAAAATAAGAATAGCTGTGTAAATTGTTGAGAGGTTTGAGAGGACTTTGAAGTGCCGAAAAACAAAAGTGTCCTCTCACGGAAAGCCCCCTGCTTAACTCAAGGCAGCACATGTTTCTTCGACAGGAAGCTTAACTCACCATCTGTCTTTCCGACCTCCCCTTGGAGGTGCCCACGCTCTGCCGCCGCCGAGGTCTCATGCCCCTTTCTTATGTCTATCCATCTGCACCAACCGTGCAGTGTGAAGATTTTTATTTTTTTCTTGGTTGTAACAAGGCAAAATCATTTTAGAAAATGGGTTTTCTCAAGAATTTCAGAGTACAGTATTAATCTTTAGTAGACTAGTGCAAAATAAAGTCACCGCTACTTCACATTTTTTTTGAAGAAAGAGAAATGTGCTAAATTATTCAAGGTGACAGCAGCCACCTTCAACTTTTTGTATGCCAGCAATGCAAATTTTTTATGGAGTGACCTTGAATCGCAACAGTGAAAAGCATTAGGTGTAATATGTTAGGGCCACTGTATGGCTGCCAGGAAAAAGGAAAAGTAAAAACAACCTTTATAATGTAAAATTCTTGTAATCCACCATTTTAAAAATGAGATGGTACATGGGAGCATATTGCTCTTTATTCTAGAGAGATTCCAACACTGAGATAGAAAATGTCCCTGTTTCATTACTAGGAATTCTAAAGTAATCTTAGTTACTGTGTGGAATATACTAAAACTAAAGTAATATATAAATTCAATACATGGGTATATTTATTTTTCTGCCTCGTAATCATCAATTTTTTTCTACTTCTCTTGAAAACCATGCCGTTTATTATTCAGAGACCTAAGCTGAAGAGAGAAGAAATATGTTAGGATCAAATTGGTGATATGGCACGATTTAAGTTTTTTATTTTCACTTAAGATGTTCCTTTGCTTTATTTTAATTTTTAAATAAAACACAATTTTGGGACATAGTTAAAGTAATTAAAAGTAATTTGATTTTGATATGGTATAACATACGAAGAACTCAAATGTTTAGCGTATGACCTGAGAACTAGAAAGGAAATAATTTTAAAACAGCAAAATTATTGATAAATAACACTAAAGCCTGGATACTTTACTATTGGGAGGGTCTTACAAGTTTTGAATTGTCATTGCTACAAGCAGACATATAGATAGAGTGGGGAGATAATACAGCAGTAAGACAGCAGATACCTCTCCTCCAAACACACACACACACACACACACACATGCACATACATACGCAGAAACACACACACACAGAGAACAAAAACTGATTGTAGACCCCTTTCCTAAAAGACACAAGGACCTGATGATCTTATGTTTCCCAAGAGTACAAGTGCTTACAACACAGTACAATTGTTGATGCTTGCCATCCATCCTGAATCATCTAGAAAAGATTAAATAATGTGCAGTAATAAATGCATTTTTAGAAAATATAGTATAAAAATATTTTAACTCTTACCTAAAGGGGCCAAACTCTTTGTTCTTTAGAGCACTTTCCTATGCAGACTTGTTTTTTAATGATTCTGAATAATTATGATTTTATAGTAGTTTGAGTTAAGCCACAGTTAATTTGATAAACCAGGGTTTTCTATGACACAATGCATTCTTTTTCGTGACACCTATACTAGAACATAAAAATATTATGCTTTCTCATTGGTCATCACATATTTTTATGGGGCAAATAGCTAAGTAGGATCTCCTAGTGTGTAGACAAAAGTCAGTTCATAAATTGACTTTCATGTCAATATCATATAATTCATAAGAATGTTACTAGAGCTAGACTTGCCATATGCCACACAGTTAGTCATGGCAGAAATAAAACTCTGACCATAGGTCCTTATTACCAGTTCAACATTATTTTATCACGTCTCGTTTTTTCACCATGTTTAATATAGATGAAAAATGATTCTATTTACATTTGTTTGTATATTATTGTTGTCAAAACAGCACATCTTTCAAAGCTAAGTTGAATGAAATAAAGACACTTATACAAGGCAAGTTACTGCTCCCTCTAGGAGTTTAAAATAAAGTTAGAAAGCAAGACTAAAGTAAAGCAAGAAGGAAAGGAGAAAAGAACTAATTTATCCAGTACTTCACGTGTGTCAGGCTTTGTGTTCAATGTAATTAATGAATTTGGTTCTCAAGAATTCCTGCGTTACAGATGAAGAACAGGAAGCTCAGTCTACATGTAAACAACTGGTAATCGGCAAAACCAGACTTCTCACTGAGGCTTGCCTGGCTGTAGAATTCCTGCTCTTTCTGCTGCACAGCCAGGAGCATGCACGGCAAGACTTAACACCTGTGGAAAATGCATGATGCAAAACTAAGACCACGAACGTAGCCACAGGAGGAGATCTTTTGGGCTGGAAGGATGAGAAAAAGTAGAGTTTTGAAAAGAGAAGTTTTTATAGGCTTCACAAAAAGAGAATCTTGGTAAGAGTAGGAGGAAGGGAAGTTTGTCCAGATTTCAGTCACCAATTACCATTAAAAAAAAGATGATGACCCTTACGTGAAGCATTGGTATCCTCTGTTTTTTTTTTGTTGTTGTTGTTTGTTTGTTTTTTGAGGAAGATTAGCCCTGAGCTAACTACTGCTAATCCTCCTCTGTTTGCTGAGGAAGAGTGGCCCCATGCCCATCTTCCTCTACTTTATACGTGGGGTGCCTACCACAGCATGGTGTGCCAAGCGGTGCCATGTCTGCACCCGGGATCCGAACCGGCGAACCCCAGGCCGCTGAGAGGCAAAATTTGTGAACTTAACCGCTGCACCACTGGGCTGGCCCCTGGTATCCTCTGTTTTAAGAAGATGGCCAGAATGACAGAAAACTTTTTCATTTTTACCGAGTGTATATTCACCAGGCATACATTCAGTACCAATTTTGTAAATACAAAAACTTCCCAGGAAAAATAGTACACAAATTTGGAATTTTTCTAAAATGATGGAAATTGGATAACTTATCCAAGTGCAACTACATATGGATATGCTTCTCTGCAAATTGATATTAAATCAGTAATGTTAATATTAACAGCAGTAGCTGATATTTACTGACTACTTTTTCTTTGCCAGCCACTGGCCTGAGCAAATTGCATGTCCTAACTCATTTAGTGCTCAGAGTAACAATGTGAAGTATTACTGTCATCCCCACTTTACAGACAAGTAAACTGTGGTTTAGAATACTTAAGTAACCTAACCAAAGTAACACAGGGTGTGCTGGATGTCTTCATTTACCCTTCAGATTCCTCTGTATCTTTATGCATTGTTCTCTGTGTCCTGGGAACACACAGGTTTCATGAGCATGTGACTTAGGCAGTGCACAGGGCCCCATGCTCAGAAGGGCCCTACACTTGATTTAATGCTCTGCTGTCACTGTCTTAAAATTCTTAACAATTTTATCAAAAAAGGGGTCCTGCATTTTCATTTAGCACTGGACTCCTCAAATTATGTAGCCAGTCTTGTCTGGGCAGCTAACCCATCTGCTTTGCATCAATGGGTTTCCTTTTCCTTGGTTTCAGGTTGGTTTTAGCCAAAGGGAGGCACTGACAAGAGATAAAATGGTGGGAAGAAAGTGAGATGGGGGTATTAATCACTCCAAAAAACCCACAGCCCATGTGGTTTCTAAACAGTTCCTTTATTAAACTCTCATCAAATTATCCAACTTGAATGTGCCATCTGTTTCCTGCAGGGACTAACTCATATATACAGTTACTTAAAAAAAGAAAAATCTATGCGTAGTAATTCGAAAAAATAAGTAGCTTGCAATTGGAAAAATCATAGCTTGATGGAAAGACTAACTGGACTCCACCTTCTTCCATTCTATTGCATTCTTCTAGTCCAGAGACACAGTAGAAAACAGCTCAGGACAGTGGGATAGGAGCCGGCTGAGGGAAAACAAGGAGCTGGAGGGACCAGAGGCAACCAGCTCCAAGACCTCACTGCCAGTTTTCTCTCTGCAAAGCTCAAATCAGCTTAATGCCTACCAGCCATATACTTGCAAGCTTAGTTCATTGAATCTTTACTTTTACTGGGTTTTATAATTTACTCCAACCCTATCTCTGATCCTTAAAGGAAAAACGACCCAGAAGCGGTTTGGAGTGGTGCCTGGCCCTGGGAGGGTCAGTGCGGGGAGCATCGTGATCTTGAAATCTATGTAACTATACTCTCTATATAAATTTAAATCCCTAAGGCTATTAGTTCAGTTTCTGACAAATACCTACATAACTACTTCTCAAGCAAGCTCTAGAGGTTTAGAATAAAGATCTTAGTTCTGTGAATTCTCTGACATTATAAATGAATATGGGAGAAAGTGCTTGTCAGGGAAAAAGTGAGATATTAGCATTTACTCTACATTTCACTTTCAATTTGCATGTTTAAAGGCTCTGGGTTTTTTATATTAAGATGTTTAAATCACCATTATTTTTTCTCCTTTACTAAAAAATAAAAGGATATTCTTTAAAGTTCAATTTTATTATGTTTCAATTTCTTATTATAGAATTTTTCTTTATAGGCAGAGAAGCTAAACTCCTAGAAATACTTCCACTGGGTATTAACAGCATCCATGAAATAGAGATCCAAATTTTGGAAACGGGCTTTTTGTATTTTTAGTATCACAGTGGTACCAATACAATAGCTCATTGGTGTTGACTTAAAGTGTCTGTGAGAGCTGGCCTTTTCAATTAGGGGGTGATATATTGTTGAACAAGGGTAACTGAAGACTTTTACTCCAAAGGAAAATTTGAAATAGTCACATATAGAACCCTGATCACTAAACTTTTATCTCATTCCACAAAAACAAAACAAAACTCTATCTTACTTTTAAATCTCCATCAAAAGGAGGTAAGATGCTTACTGCAAATACAATTACAGAGAAGTTTATTTCTCTTTTCTATTTTCACTTGTTTCATGATTTCACTGAGGCTCATGGTTTTAAATATCATCTAGATGCTAATAACTCACAAATTTCTACCTCCAGCCCAGATCTCTCTTCAGAACTCCTGCGTTATATATACAGCTCAATTTAATATCTCCTCTTACGTGTTCAATTTAACCCCTAAAACTGGGCTCCTGGTCTACACTCTAGAACTGGTCTGCATGCATCCTCACCCATCTCGGTTAATGGCATTCCATCCTTCCTACTGATCACCCTGGATTCCTCCTGTGTGTTTTTCTCACATTCCATATCCAACCCATCAGGAAATTCTGGTGACATTACTTCAAAATCCAAGTACTTTTGCCACCTCTATGGCTGCCCTCTGCTTCATGCCCCCATCGCCTGTCTCCTGGACTGTTGGAATAGTCTCTTACCCATCATCCTATCTCTTCTCCCTGCGTTGCCTTTGCTTCCTCTCCATCGATTCTCAACACAACAGCAAGAATGATCATTAGAAATGTATATAAGTCAGATTATGTCATGTTTCTGCTCAAATCCCTGAAATGACTTCCCACTTCATTAACAGTCAAAGTCGAAGTCTAGGAGGCCTTATGCTGTCTGACTCCCTCCGTCTTCTCTGACCTCATCTGCTACTGCACCTCCTTTACTGCCCTGGACCCCAGGACACGGGATCATGCCCTTTCCGCACGACCTCCCCTTCCACTCACTGCCAGTCCTCCTTACCTTGCTCTATTTGCACTTATTCCGGAGCACCAGCCATCTTTTAACACATGATGTAATTTACTTATTTACTATGTTTATTACTTATTGTCTCTCACTGTTAGAAGGTAAGCCTCATGAGGGCAGAGATCTTCCTCTGTTTTGTTTACTGATCTAGCCTCTATGCCTAAAATAGTGCCTGACACTTAGTAGCCAATCAATATCTGTGAAATGACTGAAAGCTTTGTTTAGGTACCCACCCCCTCCTTTTGTAAACTATCTATTTGAAGGGCTGTGTAGGAGGTAATTTTGTGCCCTGTCTATTTGCAGATTAATAAAACAAGCTTCAGATTGGTACCAGGCCTTTTCTGAGTATAGAAAGATCTTGAGAATTATTATAAACCATCCAGAGTTAGTATTTCCTAGTAGAAACCTAGAAATGATTCTTTCTCGTTCTCCCTATGAGACATCTTCATGTGGAAGAAAGAAAATGAGTTTTAGAGTTAGTCAGACTTGAGTTCCACATGCACTCTGAGTGGCCTTGCACAAGAGTTTGACCTCCTTGAGCCTCGGTGTTGTCATCTGTGATGTGATTATGAGAATGTTAGCTACCTCCTAGCGTTAGTTTAGAGTCAGTGAGCTAATGTATGTAAAATACTTCGTCCACATGTGCCATGGAACCCAACAGAATTCCTATCCAGTGCGTTTAATTCAGAACCTGGCTGAACGGGCTTCTTTTCTATAAGGACAAAGATATGCTTGGTCTTTACTTCTGCTTCTATTTGAGGCATTTTTAAACACATTCTTTCCTCATGAGTAGCTAAAAACGAGATGAAAACTGTCATAAAATGGGGGAGATTCATCACTCAGACAGTGAAACTACTGTTACACTGGGTGAATACACTGGGTGAGGGATTGTGGAGATTTACAAGTAGTGGATAGCTCACTGAGTCAGTGGCGTAGCGGGACACTGAGAACATCAGGGTCATCACGAAGTGCTCGGTGAACGAAATCTAAGAGTATGTTTGTGTTTCAAAGGAATCTTACCTATGGAATGACTTTCCAAGGTGCAAAATGAATTAAAATGATGACAACAATAATAACCCTTTCAAGAAATTCACAAATATTTTTGGAATCATGTGTAACTAATTACTATTGATAATTTGGAGATTTGGTATTATTAGATTACTGATGTATTCAAGTAAGTTTACATGTACGATACCTTTGATTTATATGATATTTCCATTTATTATCTTAAGATTATCTCCAGAATCAGGACTCTATTCAACTTTCTTGCATAATACAGAGAAATGAACTTTTTTTCCATTTTAGAAATAAAAAAATTTAAAGAAGAAAGGTTAAATGACTAATCCAGGATCAATCACTCAACAAGTAATAAGACTGTAATTAAAACACAGCTATTTTGATTTTCTTACCAGATGTTAGTGTGATAATCTTACCAAGTGCTATTGAAATTTTATTTCTTTTAGGAAAATGCCTACATGGGGTAGATTAAGTGAAAGAAACGTGGCAGCATCTTTCAGCTATGATAAACTGAATAGGCATATTCCTAACCTGCTCCTAGACAACTAGGGGCAGCAGAAGTAAGTGCCTCTCTTTCCTACTGACCTCACTGAGGGATATTTTACCTTATTGCAGAATCTTAGAAGAAATATTCATGTTGGTTGGAGAAATGTGGATTATAGTATAACTCATCTGGGAAAACGCAGAGGTCTGTAAAACTTTATATTTCTCTGGATTTACCTAACTTGGGTGATTTCATCTGCAGGTCAGCAAAGAGTTCAGAGATGCAGCTGGAAGCATGAAGTGATAAGATGGTCCTTTAGTCCCATAACTCTGTGCAAACTGTTATTTTGTTGAGTCTTGCTGCTGGATGCCAACATCAAGGCAGAACGCACGGAATTTCTTCACAAAGATGTGATTGCAGCAAAAGCAAGGTAATCGATACGTACTCACCACTACTTTCTACAATATAAATAATTGATTGATAAAACAGTGGGTCAAATCACTGTCCCCTATTTTGCCATAGGAGGCTTTTTCCCCCACTCGCCATTTTAATTGTTGTTCTATATCCTTTCATTAAGTCTAGCTTTGTATTTCAGCACTAAGGAAAATTCTATGCTTAAATTCCCTATAAAGTCATATTAGGCTGTCTATTAACGGCACGGGCTTTGAGCTTGACGTTCAAGGACTTTAATTGTCACCGTAATTGATTTTACCTTTGACTCGGCATCGTGATTTCTTTGTAATCTGTTGATGATTAATCACCCTTGTCTGGTTATTGCTGCTCAGTTAGCCAGAAACAAAGCAATCGGTTTGTTTTGGCTCTTAAGTTTTCTTAAAAGATTTTAAAAGTCAAGAGTATCTTTGTAAAAATGTTTTATGTCCTCTGTGGTTTAACTGTCTTGAATGAAAAGGATGGAGGTCAAAATTAAGGAAATGTGGGATAATTTTATCTTTATGTCTTTAAGATACATTAATATTCAAATCTTTCTACTTTATAGCATTTCGGTCAATATATCGGTTTTAGAAGAGTAGATGCTTTCCAAGATTGCTAGAGGTTAGGATAGTTGAATTACAAAATTTTGAAATTAGAAAAATTTTCCAAATAAAAGTTCTCAAAGATGTGATACCATTATTACTAATGATATTATTCCATTCTAAGAAATAGCAAGTGTTCAGCAGAACACCAGAAAAATAAAAAAAATGACACTAAGTGATCACAGGGACCTCACTGAACAAGGATTCTTTTGAAATGATCTATAACAGAATTTTAAACATAAAAATGCAGGATGAAAATAGAACAGGTGATTATTGATTCACTAATTGTTAGCAAATATGAATTGGTACTATGCAAAAGCATTTTACCAAGTATTGAAGAGACAAAGAAGTACATAGACATGACTTTTTGTCTACCTCTCCCCACTCCACACAATTACATAGATATTATAATCTACGAAGGAAAATTAAGAAGTGACATAAAAGAAGCAGGGAAAATGTATAGCATGTACAAAATGGTTAATGTAAAAATTTGAAGTGTGCACAGTATCTTTGTCTACAACTTTCTTTTTTTAAAAAAGAAAACACAGAGGCCAGCTCTGTGGCTGAGTAGTTGAGTTTGTGCACTCTGCTTTGATGGCCCAGGGTTTGCTGGTTTAGATCCCTGGCACAGACCTACACACTGCTCATCAGGCCATGCTGAGGCAGCATCCCACATAGAAGAACTAGAATGACCTACAATTAGGATACACAACTGTATACTGGGGCTTTGGGGAGAGAAAAAAAGAAAGCACAGATGAACTAAGATACTGTAGGGGAGGGAAACATTTCCTCTCCCCAAATGGGGGTTCGTCTGGCCGGAGAACGAATTAAATTCACATGAGACAGAATAGCAAGAGAAAATTAAACAAAGCTTTATGAGGAACCATGGCCCGGGGCCTCTCTTCCTGAAGGAAGAAAGGGCACCGAAGAAGTGGGGTGCACATAGTGGTTATATACCCCCAAACGGGGTGTTTCACATGTGACTGAAACGTCCCTCCCACAATAGTCACAAGACTGCCCTGTCAGCACAGTGCTTGATGGACACAGCAGGTAGTGGTCTGCTATCTCGGTGGGCGTAGCAGGAGGCAAGTCTATGTCTGGAGCTGGGCGGTCACAGGTGAGCGCAGCAGCAGTCAGTTCCTAGCCTAAGGAAAGATGCTTAATCCTTAAGGAATGCCAATGTTGGGAGGGGGAGGGAAGTCAGTTACAGGAGGTTACCAGACTAGCACAATAAAATGCAGATTTTAAGTCCTTGCCTTTGGTGTTGATTAAGAGTTTTTGGAGAGAAGGTCATCTCCTTTCTTCTTCCTGGTACAGAGAGGGAGGCACATTTACAGATAGAGACTTACCTTACAAATGTAAATGTGTCCTAACAAAGGGCAAGTTCCATTCCTCGGAGCCTCCTTCCCTGTCCCAGTTTATCAAAAGCAATCAGCCTCAAATAATCCTGATGCCAAAGAAACATATCTTGGGGTGGCCAATTCTAGGTCCCCACAATACATAAATATTTTAAATCTCTTGGGAAAAGTTTTAGATACTCCATTGACAAGATTACATGGGTAGAATCCTTGGGAGTGAAAATGTCATTGATGATAGGGAAAAAAAAATCACTAAGAAATATAACATCTAATGAAAATTTGGTCTAATATATTTCTGTGTTGAACATAATCATAAGCTATTGAAACTTAAAGTATGTCAAGCTAATACACATACTCTAAAATAACTATTTTAGAACAAAAATCTTAAGAGCAACCATTTTTTTGCATGAGTATTTACGTTTGTCTTATTACGTTTAATGTTACTACCAGCTTGTAAATTTTTTAAAAAATTAAATTGATAAGAGAATAAATTGTAGGTTCAGGCATTTACATATATCTCTTGAATTTACAAAATAAGCTAGCAATTTCTGAGTTTTTTCCTAATAAGAAACAGAAATGTTGTTCTAAGTAAGTGGGAGAGCTGTTGCCTCAACCAGAGATTCTGGCCCTGATTTTCAAATATTTTTAGACCATCAACACTTGTTGAAATTCCTAGTGGATTGTATTTCAAAATATTTTTTAATTAAGTAAATTATTTAAAATATTGACTCTATTTTTCAACAGATATAATATTTTACATGATAGTTACAATTTCAGGACAAGACAATAAAATCTTTTTAACTCAATATTCCATACCTGATGATCTTTCCAAATAGTATAAAACCTTAAGCACTGTGAAGAATAATATTTCAAAGGGAAAATGTGTTTGGAGATCTCCCTTGAGATAATAGGAATCCACATTTCCCCACTCTACACCTGCCAGGATCCAAGCTACTGTGGGTGACTTATAGAATGAGTCTCTAAGAAGGTGGGTGCAGGAAATGAAAGGTGGGAATTGGGTTTTGTGCAGCCTGTGATCATGTAAATCTTCCCTGATTTCTTCGTTGCCATTACCTGTTTCTCGAGGGGAGAATTTTATTTATTCTTTTCCTTAACCATAGTGCAGGGCACGATGTCTTAGCTCTTCCTCTGCCATTGCATCTTCTAGGCAAGGGGGTTGTTCTTCTGCAGTTTTGGGGAGACTCCAGAGGTTGTGTAACAGCAGTTCAGTGAAAAGTAGAGTCTTTGGACTTAAGGGAATTCATCTCTCATTAGCTGAATGTCTCTGTGCAGTTTAAAGCATCTGGCTTCTGTTTCCTCATAAAACAGTGACCATAATATGTGTCTTCTGGAGGTTTGAGAAGAAAATAGTTGGTGAAAAACAAACCCTGGAATTATGTTTCACTCACTTAAAACTTGTAGGAAAAGACAAAATGATGTAAGTGATTGTTCATTGTGTAGATGAAGAACTCAAGCAGTATTCACATATATTTAAGAGGATTTTAAATTATCGAGGACTTTTAAACAACAAATATGATGGGTTGTTGGATCAGAAGCTAAGAGAACTGAACCTCTGTGATGATTGTGGGTGGTGGAAAGGTGAGAAGATTTGGGAATGCTGATTATGAGAGCCAAGTTGAGCTCTACTTTGATCAAGAGGTCTTCTTTCCTCCTTTCTTTTTGTCACTTGCAATCTCTTGTCACCACAGACCACAACCAGGATCATGGATAATGTCTGGATAATTTCAGAATCAAGAATTAGGGTTCACTCATTCATTCAACCACTTTTTATTGTTTAACCATCAAGTACTAGGCATCGGTCAAAAAATATGACCCTCCCCGCCCCCAAAAGAGTCTATTTTCTCATTAAGCTTACAGTCCAACAAGCCTACACATACAGATCAGATATTCTCTAAGCACATGTGAAATGACACCTGTGACCTGTGCAGTAGTAAAAGCCCACACTGTGCATTGACTCACTATGGGGAATTTGAACTAGTGCTGGGGATGAGGAAAGGCTTCCTTGAGAAGATGATGATTAAGTTAATAGCTGAAGGAGTTAACTCTTGAGTGAAAAGAAAAGAGAAGCACATTCTAAGCAGGGAAATAAAACCTGTTAACAAGCAAACCAACCAACAAATCAAACCTGTCTGCACAAAGTCTGATGAACAATTTGAAGAATTTTGTCTCTATTTGAAGGGTAATAAGAAACTTGACATGGGTTGGAGAGGGCTTATGGGAAAATCAGGGTAATATGATCTGATAATCAGATACCCAACTTGAAATGACTATTATGGCTGAAACATAAAATAATGCTTTGGAAGGGACTTTAGTGGCTTCAGACAGACCCATTAGAGGCCACTGAGACAGTCCAGGTGAGAAGTGGTACCTTGAAAATGGCTCTAGTTGATGTACGTGAGAAAAATGGACAGACTGAAAATTATTAAGCTGGTAAAATGGATGGGAATTGCTGTAATTTAGAAAAGGGTAGCAGGGGATCTGCAATCCCTATGGGGAATGGAAACAGCTCTTAGACCAATATAGCAGAAAGGGAAAAAGAGTGCTCATGACTAGCAGGGCTTGGAGGTGGTAGGGGATGAGAGCATGGTGGTGGAAATCTGCTAGACAGCTGCTCATTCGATCTGAGTAGAGAATTGCTGTAAGTTACATTTCCTGCATACTTATTTTATAAAATGCCGATTCATGTCTTCATTTCTTCTCCCTTTGTTCTCCTCACTGCTTCACTTTAAAAAAAAATTAAGAGAAATAGCTTTTTGCTTTTGGAGGTGATTAGTAGAAAGAATCAAATATTTTTCTTATGTCTTTGTTAATAGCCTGTATCAAGTTGGAACAATTAATACTCAAACAGTTATTTCTCAAAAAATTGCTACTTATACTGTATGCTTTCTAAAAGTATGAATTTTGAATTATTTATATAGTATACGTGATATATTTATTCACTGTAAACAATTTACCATTGTTTCTTGATTCAGTTTTCTATGATTAGTTGCACAACAAAGCCTGGATTGTTAAGGTAGGCTCAGATTATGA